TAGATACGGGTTTAGGCTACCAGTGCTCTTCTCACGTAAGCCATCCTAACATACAGTTATAAGAAGTCATGTGTCACTAAACAAGTACTAAAAACTTTGTGAATTTATGTAGTTTTATGAATTAATTAAAACAGAGTGATATGTGCTATGAATGGGGCAAAGGTTTATAAATATTTTTAAATTTTAATATATATATCTATAAATGACAATTGAATTTATGATAAAGTTATTTAAGTCCCAATAATTAGTGCATAGATTTAAAACAATACACTCGTATTGAATCCTTATTTGATTTATTCTCGATATTACTAAATATAAAATATTTATGTTTTCATAACAAATCATATCTCAACTATAAAAGTTTATTAATAATAATTAAACTATTTTATTGTTTTGTTTGTCTTTGCTATTATTATTATGTGTTAATGAACTCTAAATTTAGAGTCATTAAAAAATATAAATCAATAGACCATTTATGCCGAGACTCTTACATGAAATCTATATATAAATCAAGTGATTGTGTGAATGACTGTTTGATAACAACCAGAAAACAATAATCTTATCATTAATAGAGTGGAAAACAAAGTTCGGACACAATATGCCACCGAAATTTGGTTCATACGACTACCGGACCACCGATGAGGAGCTGAAGTCTAGCACCGGAACCTCTGTGGACACCACCACCAGTAGTAGCCATCAACACATGAGTGCTAACTATACTGCCGGCGAAACTTATTCATACAAATCTCATGAAATTGTGTGGAGAAATGTGATCCTGTTATCCATTCTGCATATTCTGGCCTTTTATGGTTGGCTACTATTCGTGTTCATCGATGAACTCAAATGGCAGACAGCGGTCGCAACCTTCCTCTTCGGCCTCTTCTCATCCTCATTAGGCATAACAGCCGGCGCTCATCGGCTTTGGTCTCATCGCAGCTATAAAGCCAAATGGCCGCTCAGGTATGTGCCGTTATATACAATGGCTTTCTCATAGAAATTAGCCTAATTCACAGTAATAGCCAATTATTAATATGTTTATAGCAAACATTTATATGTTGAGCGTTTAAATTGATGCAGTTTATAATAATTAGAGAATTATATGTACTCTAAATATTTATCACAAAAATGTTTTCGTATAATGTTGGCTTCATTTTATAACTTGTCATAATAATAAGTAGTCATTTTTAATTGTCTATTAATTATTTGTGTGACTAGTTTTATTTGATAGTATAATTATTGTTATAAAGATTTATAACAAGAATAGTCTTAAGATTTAATTGAAATTTCTAAAACTATTTTACTTTTAAATAAAAATACTTAATAATAGTTGTAACATAATTTTTGTTTTGTATTTCATTTACGGTATAATAATATATGGAAAATCAAACAAATAGATAGATATCTAACCCATAAAACAAATATTTGTGAAGACTTTACAGGAAAAATTGATATTAACTTTTGTGTTTGTTATCACATAAATGACAGGTTATTATTAGCCTTCGCCAACACAATGGCCCTTCAAAATGATATCTACGAATGGAGTCGAGACCATAGGGTTCACCACAAGTTTAGCGAAACCAATGCCGACCCCCACAACGCCAACAGAGGCTTCTTCTTCTCACATATGGGTTGGCTATTACTCAAGAAACACAAAGATGTCAGAGAGAAAGGTATGCCACCATTCATACCATTCTCTATATATACTATTTTTGCATATCTTATGCATTCCTTATAAGACTTTACATAATTTTTTAACATAAGTTATAACACATATACATACCTGTACTATAAATGCAATTACTTCAAAGATTACGATTTTGAAGACAATTAAATTAAGATTCAAACAATTGATCGATTTATTAACCTAATTTTGATCATTCATATGCAGTTTGAAGTGAGTTTTGTGAATATGTTAAATCTTTTTACTTTAATTATTACATTAATTTCTTATAATATCGCCTCAATTAGCCCTCGCAGTGGGTGTTTGCAAAGGGGATATAGTTAACTATCCCTTCCCTCATACTGTTGAATAAGAGTTATTCAAAGATTTAATTCATAACTCAAAAGACAGTGAGATTAACATACAATTACTTAAACTTCTATTTATATGAAAAGAATTGCAAATGTTTTCGCCTTTTCTTTCAAACAGAAAATAATAAAACACTAAAACATCGATCAAAAAGGCATAAAATAAAGCTATTTATAAACCATTGCTGTGATTGATATCTATATACACAGTATTTTTGCTTAACAAAGATTGCGATTGAATTCATTTTTATTAATATATTTGATTTGCATATTTATAAACATAAATACAAAAGTATTACATAAATATGGTTTTGTATGTTATTGAGGACACCGTTTGAAATGTTTATGAGAAATTTGGTCAAAAAAGAGTTGATTCACTCTTTTATATTATTTTTTGATTTTTTTCTGAATACTAATTGACAACAAATTTGTAAATTTCCCACATTTTCACCATTCCTTTCATATCATATAATAGCCATCACTTCATATAAGGTTTAGTTGTAGTGATTGTTTTGCCTTTCAATAGTAAAATTCAATTCAATTGAATTCAAGTCAAACTAATAATAGGAAATAAGTTTTCACTTTGCATTTCAAATGAGGTTTTGTTTAAAAAATATTAATACTCTTCGCATATAATGTTTAAAACAACGATTAGTTCTCTATAAATGAAACATTATGTTTTTGGTTTAAACTAGTTAATGATTTTTCTTAATTTTTAATACATTAACTAATCATTCATTTATTCACTATTTTAATGAAAATCGTTTTGAAATTTATAACAAAAAGATAAAATATTTTTAAAAATAGAATTTTCCTTTCCTTGTGATTAAATTATACATATATTGTACATTAAATTGTACTAAAATAATAAATAAGTATAGTTTTATAAACAATTTTGCGAAAAGCTTTGAATCCATTATTCTATTTATTATTATTTCAATTGATTATTATTATAGATAATAAAAATACTTAAATTCTTTATAATTCAAAAATTCACTTATTGTTTTATAACATATAATTTAAAATAATGAAATTAAAGTAGGAGCACAGGTATGCCACTTACCTGTATGTTTAGGTCAAGTTCATGTCTATTCAAATACTACAATAATCCCATTTTATTCAACCTTTCCATTGTTATATTAATGAATGTTTGTATTAAGTAATTATTATTATCATTTATGCTTATGTATTTAAAAATGTGTTTTTTATTAAATGTAGAAAAGATTTTCATTTATAGAAACTCATGCTTTCATACAATAAGCTGATTATATGATTGATTGCATGGATATTATAAATAAATTTGTAGTTATGTTTTCATTAGACGTATTGTTCCCATTATTTATTTATGATGGTGAATTAAAATATAATGTGAATATAATATAAACGTGTTTTAATGCAATTACGATTATACTATAAATATGTCCATTTATACCTTTTATTTGTTAACTTTAATTGATTTGATTAACGAATAAATAAAATAATGAATAATATTTTAAAAGCATATCTTAAAAATTGAAACGTTCACAAAAAAGTTCACATTTAAGATTTATATTTAATTTATTTACAGTATTTATAGTTATACATTGTTATGGAAAAATAATTTTATATATTTCTATTTTTATAATGAATAAACAGATAGAAAGTTTGAATAATCTTTAAGTATCTATTTTATAAAAAGTTTTGAATATTTTAACTTATTTTAAACTATAATTTAGATTAAGATTAAAAATACTGTATAAGATATACACTCATATTATGTATATTATTTAGAAAGTTTAAGTATATAATTATATACTGCAGTAAATAAATTTGCACAATATTTCTCATAAATTGTATGAATTGAATATTTGAATTTGAATTGCATCCTCATATAGAAAGTATTAATCTCTTATATAATAATTATCACACTTTCATTATGTTTAACTTTATTTTTTATCTAGATCTAATCATTTATTTACTAATATTATTATAAATTAAAAACAATTAATAATAACATATGATTACTTAATTTATTTGATTGTGTGATCTCTAGGCGCGAGTGTGGATATGAGTGACATATGGGACGATCCTATTATCCGATTCCAGCGACGGTTTTATGTTCCCTTAATTATACTGATCTGGGGGGTCATCCCTACTCTCGTGCCTTATTATGTGTGGAATGAGCGGCTCTGGTATGCATTCCTGGGCTGTGTTTGCTTCCGGTACGTGTATGTCCTGCATTGTACCTGGCTCGTCAATAGTCTCGCACATTTAGAGGGCAATAGACCCTATGACCGACATATTGGACCAAGGGAAAACAATTCTGTCATTTATTTTGCATTTGGCGAAGGTATTTTATTTCTAATTAAATTTTATTGTATTTCATTAGAGACCTATTATACAATTTTGTTTTTACTTGCTCAAATTTATTGCATTCTATTAATATTAATATTATATGAAATGAATGCATGTTTTATATTTATACATTATATTCATCATAATAATAATCTGAAGTCATTATTGAATTCATAAACTCATGTAAACTCAATGCTCTTAAAAATAGCGAATAATTTTCTTATCGTTTATGAATTGTAAGGAAAGTGTGGTTTTAGGTCAATGGATGCATGATTTACTGATAGACTTTTACTTTATTTTATTACATTATATGGCACTCAATAGTTTCCATATGAGATGCTTTCAATGATTTAATATTTACTCAAACAAATTACTTTCAATTTAAGGAAATTTTATACCCCTAATAATAATTGATTTTATCTATAAATAACTTTATTATTACATTAAATGTAAATACAAGTTATTATATTTATTTAAAATTTGTAATAGCTTATACATTACAAATAATGAACAATTATGATACTCGTTTATATAATTAAATACAATTAACCTGTTAAATTAATATAATAATTATAAAATTACTGGTATTTTAATTAAAATTTTATGATAATTAAAATATAAGTAAAATTGAATTTATATTTGAACGAAGGCTACCATAACTATCACCACACGTTTCCGTGGGACTACTCGGCCTCAGAGTTTGGGTGGAAATCCAACTTCAATTTGACGACACTATTGATAAAGTTCTTCGAGTGGTGCGGACTGGCCTACGACCTCAAGAAGCCGTCCCATAACCTCGTAAGGGGTCGACAGGAAAGGACGGGCGACGGCTCGGACAATAAGTTGGTTCGCGTCGGTGTCATCCGGGACTGGATTCTGGGCGTCGGTATCACAAGCGGCCAACTCATCGTCTCATTTATTCTTAGGATTATCTTCAGAATTATTTTCCAACTCTTTTGAGGCATACCTTTCATATTATGTGACAAATTATTTTCGTTTATTGTTGTGTTTATTAGCGTTGAATCAATTTATAAATGGATTTACCATTTAAGATTAACATTTATATTCATATTGATGTTTGCATATTTTATATTTGTTAGGCAAAAACATTTATAATTCTTTCAATTTTCTTTTTTTTGTAATTTTTCCAATTCATTTCACTTGATTTAAGTTATTAATAAAATATATTTGAATATATGATAATATTATACTTATTATGGGTATAAAATATTTAGATATTTCATAACTAGCGTAAGTTATACTCAATGACTCGACTTTCAAGGAGATTCTATGCAATTCAAAAGTTTTCATTATTTATTAGGTTTATCAACATTTATTTTTACAAAAAAAGTTTTTATAAGTTATTTGATACTTTTGATATAATAATAAATTCTTTAAATATCTTATTTCAATGCATAAAATATCAATAATTTAAAAAACAATGTATAAAATACTCATAAAAATTTTATTTCTCAAATGCCCTGATTATTTTCTCAGAATAGATATGACTAAACAATATTTCTGTTCAATTATTCCGTATACTTCTAATTATAATTTAATTTATGACAAAATTATAAACACTTATGTTTTCATCAATAATACTAGTAATAGTCAATTAGAATTCACATTATTTAATAGTGACTATTATTTACAAAACAGGCAAAAAATAATTGTAATCAAATGACAAAACTATTATTATTTTTATTATAATTATTATAAATATTACTCTTGTTCTGTCATTTAAGCTTAGATTTCACAATCATTGTATTGATCTGTTTTTGGCATTCATTCAGTGAATGTTATGTTTTAAATATAAATATCAAATAAAATTTCATTCTCTCAGTGCTAACTAACATTTAAAGTAAAGGTTTTTGAGAGAGATGTGCGAAAAAGACTTTTAAAATAAATTTTTCGCTCAAACTTTTCAATTATATAGTAAAAGAAAAAGAGTTTTAACATTTTATAATGTTATGTAATGTAGTTATAAATAATTCATGGCACAGACTGCTCGGCATACATGTGATCGCTGTATAGTGTGGTGTGTGTTAACGGCTTATTATAATTAAAACCAAAAATAAAGTTTGTGTTTCTAAGCGCTCACTAAATGGGAAAATTCATTGAGTAATTGATAATGAGATGAAAAAGTATTGATTGAAAAAGTGATGCAAAACGAGACCAAAAGTGAATAATACGGTAACACTGAGACGAACCAGAATTTTATTGATTACATATTGAGAGTGAAAGGGGATTCTACACTACCAGTGCTATTGTGTTTGTGTTATTCTGTCGGCTCAGACACGCTATTAGCGTTTGACTTTTAAAATTTTTATATTCAATTAATTTTGTCTAAAAATAATTATGAAATATGAAAGGATTCAGAAAACGTATGTCCCTTCCCGTGTCATTGTCGGAGTGCTGGGATGTCTGGGCTGTTGTCTACTCTATGTCTTGCGATCCAATCTCAGTGTTGCTATCATTGCAATGGTTGATGAGAAACAAGTGATTGAGAATATTAATGAATCTAATAATAGTCAGTCAATGATTGACAAGGATTTGTGTTATGATATCCATAGCGTTAATAAAAGCGATGTTATATCCAATTATAAAGTAAGTGACAATTTATTTTAAATATTGTTACATAACATATTTTTAAATCTAATTTTAGGGTCAATATCAATGGACTCAATCAGTGCAGGGGGTGATACTGGGCTCATACTTCTACGGCTATACTCTGACACAATTTTGTGGTACATTTGCCGACAGGTTTGGTGCCAAATGGATGGTCGGATTGGGGGTATTCCTACCGGCAATATTCAACGCTTTTATTCCTATGGTGGCCGACATTCACTACACACTTGTGGTTGTTCTCCGAGTACTTATCGGTGCCTTTCATGGGGTAGTCTTCTCCTGTCTTTTCTCAATGTTTGCCAAATGGTTCCCACAATCGGAGACAAATCTGGCCCTAACGGGCATTATATTTTCGGGCAATTTAGGCGGTGTCCTCACAATGCCATTAGTGGGCTATCTCTGCAAAATTGATTTACTTGACGGCTGGCCAACCGTTTTCTACTTTACATCGTTTATACATATATTTTGGTTTATTTCGTGGATTTATTTTGTTAGTAATAAACCCGAAGACAGCAAACGGATTACTGTNACAAATCTGGCCCTAACGGGCATTATATTTTCGGGCAATTTAGGCGGTGTCCTCACAATGCCATTAGTGGGCTATCTCTGCAAAATTGATTTACTTGACGGCTGGCCAACCGTTTTCTACTTTACATCGTTTATACATATATTTTGGTTTATTTCGTGGATTTATTTTGTTAGTAATAAACCCGAAGACAGCAAACGGATTACTGTCAGAGAACTCGAGTATATTATGTCCGACAATAAGACGTCGAAGAATATGAGGCATCAATCGATTCCCTGGAAAGACATCTTTATGTCGAGAGCCGTCTGGGCGTCGATTGTGAGCAAAATATGCGGTTCTTTCGGTTACTATGTTTTGTGCACAAAAATGCCCACATATTTGGATACAGTGTTCGGTATGTCTATACAGACCAACAGTTGGTTTAATTCGCTATTCTATGCTACACTTTGTGTGTCGACGCTGAGTGCCGGCCCCCTCTCCACGTGGGTTAACAACAAACACTGGATTTCGTTGACCAGAAGTCGCAAGAATTTTCAAAGTTTTGGTATAAATATTCAGTTTAAAAACATATGGTTACTTATATTTTTATGTTTGATGGCCAGGTATGTTCAGTTGCTGTATTTGTATATTAATAATCCCGATGGTGGGGTGCGATATTGTAGCCGTCATATCCCTACTATTGGTGGGAATGTTTCTATTCGGGGCCATCACTGGTGGTGAGTACGCCTGTATCCCAGAGTATGCGCCCAATTACTCGGGAACAGTGTTTGGTGTGTCCAATACGTTGGCCTCAACCACGGGATTTATGGGCCCACAGATTGTCGGACTGTTACTTGACTATGGGGTCTGTATTTAATCCGTTGTACGCTATATTTCTTAATATTAAAATTATATTAAAATCAAAGGAGGGGTCGGGTGTTCGCCATCAATGGGATATAGTATGGTATTTGTCGGCCGCTATCTATGGTTTCGGAGGAATATTCTTCGAGATGTACGGCACTGCAGAACCTCAGACATGGGCTCTCGTCAACGATGAGTCCATTACTAAGGACTTAAATAAAGACAATAATAATTTAAAAGTATAATTATGTTAATAAATAAACAATAAAATGGTAATATTTTTAATATGGTTTGTTATTATACAATAAAAGAAATTGAAAATAAATTAATTTTCATATGAATTTATTATATCAAGGTTAATACAGTATATCAATATATTGCAAGCAAACAGAGCATTAAAGTTAATGTTATTTTACAAATTAGGAATTTATTGTATAATATTATTAAATAAACAATGACCACAAATGGAAATTATTATTATTAAAAAATAGCATTAAATTTAATGTAATGGTATGTTATGTAATATAAAATATTTTGTTAATAATGTTTATTTGTATATAAGTTATAAACATATTTAATTTAATTTGTATAAACTTTTAATATTTTTATGGAATAATGTATTAATAAATTAATTTTAAAAT